TGGATCACGCCCTCTCCCAAATGGGCACCCAGGACGGTGTGCCGATGCGGCTCTGCGGCCCCGACGGCGGTCGTCAAGCGCGCGCAACAGAATGCTGGTGTTCGTGGCTTTCCTCTTCAGCCTTTGCCTCGTCGCCGTCGAGGCGCAGGACGGGATCCACTTCAACAGGAGATCGGTGAGCTGCAGCAGAAGTATGACCAGTTGGCGTCTACTACCCCTGGTCCCAAAGCAGGTGCGCAGGCGCAGGCATCGCAGTCACGACCCGCCGCGGACAAAAAAACCTCCGCGTCTGCCGGTGACGACAAGGACGAGGAGCAGAACACCTTGCGTGACAGGATCAAGCAGCTGGAGGCAGTCGCCGCCGAGTGCAAGAAGCTGCCCAACGACACGGGCACGGCTGCCCATGATTCGCTCCTGGAGCAGTTGGCCGTGACCAGGAAGGCTTTGGCCGACACCAAGCCCCATCTTACCCAGCACACCAACGTGGGTCATCGGTTGGATCGTGCTACTGCTAAGAAGAAACACCTCGAGGACTCCACCGACGAACAGACTGAGTTCATGCGAGTCGCGCAGGAGAATGTCGATGCCATGCGAGCCCAGGCCGTGGCCATCGACGAGAAGATTGTCACCCTCAATAAGGAGCTTGTGGACACGCTGTGTGCCTGGTGTGCCTGGGCGGTGCGCCTGGTGTGACTGGTGTGCCTGCGCGGTGTGCCTGTTGTGCCTGCTGTGCCTGGTCGGCCTGGCCGCTGCGGCGGCAGCGTGGCCTCTGCTGCAGGAGCGGCCCGGGGCCGGCCCCTTCCCGCGGCCGAAGCCTCCCCCTCCGCGGCAGGGCACCCACTCGCCCGCCGCCACAGCCAGGGCCTTCCCTGCCGCGCGCCATACGACGAGGAGGACCACGAGAGCGACAGCGGCGACGCCGTCGTCGTTGCCGTCGTCGCTGTCATCGCCGCCGCCGTAGGTGCTGTCGTCGGCGGCGGCGCCTTCTAGGGCGGCGCCCGCGGTTCGCACAGCCCCCGCCCGTCTGTCATTTTTTTCGCTACCGTGTTTGTCGTCGCTGGCGCTGCCGCCGCCTGTTGTTCCCACCCTCGTCGTCGTCGTCGTCGCCTTCGACGTCGAAGCAGCCGCCGCCATCGCCCCCGCGACCCCATCCCGGGGCCGTTCCTGGCCAGTCCTCCGAGCCGCGTCCGGTCGTGACGGAGGGAGCTTCCAGAAGCGCCCCAGAGTGCACCGAAGCGAACACGCCGCCACCGTCGTCGCGGCCGCCACCGCCGCCGTCGCTGTCGTATTGCGGCGTCGTTCTCGCCCGCGCCGCCGTCGCCGCCGCCCTCCTCGCCCTCGTCGGCGGCGTCGCCCGCAGCGCCGCCGGCGGTGCCGCGAGGCTCGTGCAGCCGCCTGCCCTCCGCCCGACGGCGGCCTCCGTACGCGCCGCGCCCACGCCTGTGCGGCGGCAGCCGCAGCCCGCCGAGGCGCCTCGCCCTGGCCCCCGTGCGCAGAGGGCGCCTACAGTCGAAACCGACGGTAGGGTTAAGTCGGGCGTGTCCCTCTACAGGAGGAAAGTTCAAAAATAGTCAGAAAAATAGTCTAGAAGCGATGTTTTGATTATTTGTACTGGTTCGGGGTATTTTGGAGGGAATTTTTGTTTTTCGTCCAAAATCCCCCTGTCGGGGGACATGCATGCCCGACCTAGCAATTGGGATTAGTAACCTTAATTCCCAAGGGCACACGCCGGTCGGGTATAGCCAGGACCCCATGTCATGGGACCCGGTTAGTAGTAGTAGTAGTAGGGCCCCGGAACCCCTAAGTGGGCCAGATATCATCGAAGCAGATCTGCCGTGTAGCCGGTGTTTTTGTGTCGGGTGACGGCAGTTCCCGTTAGTGGAACGGGGCGATGGGGGCGTCCCCCAGTACACATCATTTATCCAGGTTCTACCAAACTCATTTCTGCCAACGCCCGGTCGTTGAGAGTAGGTATCTCTGGATTCCCATATTAAAATGTTTACCTATACGACCACCCTGCGGGTGATAAGGAGGTTGGGGGGAGGGGCCCAGCAATGGGCAACAGTGGTGATTGTTGTTCTGGCGATGCCAGTGGAGATTGTTGCGTTGCCGCTCGCTCTTGGGAGCTTTGGTGTCGAGTTGTTTACGTCACCCTTCGCTATTGGGCGCCTTGGTACCATCCCCTTCCCCCAGGAAGCACTATCGATCTCACTATCGATCGATCTCACTCGATCAATATCACAATCGATATCACTATCGATCTCACTATCGATCTCACACTCGATCTCACAATCGATATCACTATCGATCTTACGATCGATCTCATAATCGATCTCACGATCGATCTCACTATCGACCTGACTATCGATCTCACGATTGATCTCACTATCGATCTCACGACGGGACACCGACGGGACACCGGCGGGACAGCGGCGGGACACCGCGCGGCCCCGAACGCCGGGTCGCCAAACATTTGGTCCGGCCGCGCCTCAGCCACAGGAGACTTTCCTCTCGCCCGCCCACGCAGCTCCGCCTCGCCCGCACGCACGGCACGCACGAACACGAAACCGAGATCGATTTCAAGGCAGGGGGACTCTCCGTTCCACTCCGATCTCACCCCCCAGCCTTCGATGTTAGGCGCCTTCCTACTTCAAGGATGGAGCGCGTGTTCCTTTTTCTCTCTCCTCTTTAGGGGGCGGGCGGGCGGAGTCCCAACCTACTTTCAGCGCCTTCCTTCGTGTTCCTCTCACCTCTTCCGACCGACTTGCACCCTTGTGTCCTGGCCTCCTCGGTCCATCCTCAACCCCTTCCGATTGCCAGCCCAGCTCGAGAAGCTTCGACATGGGCGTCCATGGAGCTTGCATCCTTGCCGCGCATCCGCGCTGTCAGTTTTGTGATGGTATCAGGGGCAACTGTAGGGTTGGGGCTGGCTGTGGGTCTGAGGTGGCCCAGCAGTGGTTCTGGCGAGCAGGCGAGGTTCGAGGCGCTGGGTTCTCAAAGTTGTTGTCTCTTTTTCGTCCTCCGGGAGCTGCCTTTCGGACCCCGGGACCGTCCAAAATGGATCTGGGGTGAAGAACTGCACCAGATGGGATGGACCCTGGGAGGGTCCGGGGATAAGTTGGTTTTGAGCGGATTTGGCCTCATCCCCCCTCCTGGCCGATTTCCTGGGGTCCCAACCAGTTCAGACCCACTGGCCGCCTCCGACGTTAGGGGGGGCACGGTCAGGAATTTCCGCTTAGCGTATCGGTCCGCCGGTTGCGCGATATGCCGACCATTTCCCGCTCTCCAGGCGTAAACGTCCCATGCCTTTCCTCGGCGGCGAGCGCGGGAGGGAAGTGGGGAGGGGCGGGCATTCTCAGAAGGCTCGGAAGTCCCCCAGCATTATGACAAGTTGTCTAAGCAATCCCTGCAGGCGCAGCAAATCTTCTCAGGAGGCGCGAGGGCTTCTGAGAAGTCCCGCCGCCTTCCGAGAAGGCCTTCTCCTTCGTGTCGCCGGGGCCGCCGCCGCGACACCTTGACACCAGACGTTCCCGACCGCAGGAGGCCCACGGGGCTCTAGGTTCGAGGGGGTCCTCCTCCTCCTCCTCCTCCTCCTCCTCCTCCTCCTCCTCCTCCTCCTCCGCCTCCCCCCTCCCTCCCTCCCTCCCTCCCTCCCTCCCTCCCTTCTTCCTCCTCCTCCTCCTCCTCCTCCTCCTCCTTTTTTCCTTATATTACTCCTCCTCCTCATCCCTCCTCCTCCTCCTCCTCCTCCATCCTCCCTCCTCATGTTATTCCTCCTCCTCTCTCTGCTCCTCCTCCTCCTCCTCCTCCTCCTCCTCCTCCTCCTCCTCCTCCTCCGCCTCCTCATCCTCATTCTCCGCTGCCAAGAAACACCCTGCTTGCCTCCAGGGTGCCCTGGGATTCTTGGGTCTCGATGGTTTTGCTGTGGAAGGCGTGACGATCCCACACCAAAAATCCATGAACGTCCTGGGGTCTCAGGGTTTGATTTCTTGTGGAAGGTTTCTTGTGGTCGAGATCCTTGGGGGTCAGGAGGGCTCCTACCAGGTAGAGGGCCCAGTCTGCCTGCTTCTAGAGCACCAGAACCTCTTGCCTGGGCCAAATGCCGCTCTCACCACGTTCTAGCCACAAGCGTCCACGGGCACATTGGGTGCTGTTAATGACGTCTGCAGATGCATTCGAGATGAAATCTACAGACGACGCGGCCGTTGCGTTCGTCGCAGCACAGGGAAGGAAAAATTGTGGATCCGTCTACGGTCTGTTCCTTTTCTGTCTAGGGCAGTCCCCACACGGTACAGGCTCACGAGGGCTCCTACCAGGGAGGAAAGGCTCAGGGGGACAGGCTGCCAGCATTGGCAACATCAGGGGGGGGGATGCGCTCAGCAGGCTCGAGGCTTTGAGGTTCGGGGTCTCTGGCGTTTTCGCCGCCTCTCCCCGGCCTCCCGGCCCTGGCATGGCTCTCTGGCGGCTGGCGCCTCGCCGAGGCCGCTTCTCCGAACGGCCGCCGGAGGCCCGAGGACGCCACGCTATCGGGGGATAGGCTCGGGGGAGGACGCCGCGGCCCCAAGATCGCCAGCTTCCCCGGCCATCGCCGAGGAGGGCCCGGCAGCCCCCCTCGGCCAGGAGCGCCTTCGGAGTCGCTGCCGTGGGCCCCTGCCGCCGACGTTGCCCCTTTCCCCCCCCCGCCCACCCCCTGGTGCCAGTCCCCCCCCCACCCTGGCGCAGAGAGCTCCCAGGCAGCACCACCCCCATGCCTGGCCAGGGCCAGCCTGGACGCCCTCCTACGGGAGGGGAGAAACACACAGACAGCTTGGACGCCCTCCTACGGGAGGGGAGAGACAACAGACACCACTCATCTCCCGGACGTCTCCCCTCCGGTATGTCGGACGCGGCTCCTCGAGGTTGGCCCACGGGGGGCCGGTCTCCCGTTCCGTGGCCGTGGAAAACCGCTGCGGCGGATGATGGGCGTAAGTCGGGCCTGTCCCCCTACAGGAGGAATATTCAAAAATAGTCAAAGACTAGTCTGGGGACGATTGTTCTACTACTGTTGATCATTTTCGTGTATGGTTTGACTATTTTTCATTTTTCGTCCGAAAGCCGCCTGTAGGGGGACATGCCCAACCGAACGATAGGCGGCGAGCGAGGGGGGGAAGTGAGAAGAAGAAGGCCTGCTCAGAAGGCGGCGGGACTTCTCCGAAGCCCTCGCGCCTTCTGAGAAGCTGTTGCTGCCTTCGTGGAAGGCTCAGAAAACTTTCCAGAGGCCGGGGGACTTCGAGAGGGGAGAAAGTGAGAAGGTGAGGGCCTTCTCAGAAGGCGGCGGGACTTCTCAGACGCCCTCGCGCCTTCTGAGAAGCTGTTTCTGCCTTCGGGGAAGGCTCAGACAACTTCTCAGAGGTCAGGGGACTTCCGAGCCTTCTGAGAATGCCCACCCCTTCTCATTTCCCCCCGGGCTCGCCGCCGAGATGAGGAATTGGCCAGGACGGACCCCGAGAGGGTTCCGGGGACCGATTTGGGGCGGATGTTGGTCAAAATATCCTGCGCCATGTCATGCTGTGTACGCCCTCTTGGCCGACCTGGGGCCCAGGATGGCCCTGGCCAGGCATGGTGGTGGTGTGTAGGAGCCTTCTGCGGACCCCCCCTTGTGCCTGTAAATGTGGACGTCGACGTCGACGTCGACGACGTCGATGATCCTACGACGTCGAGGATCCCTGAGATCTGAGCGTCGGATCGTTTCCACAGCGGCTGCTCTCGCTCTGTTTCGGAGACCGAAGGCCGTCGCATATCGATCCGTCTCGCAGAAAGGTGGTGTCGAGGGCCTTGGTCATGCTTTTGCACGAGGTTGCATTTTTCGCGGCGTCGGATCTCAAAGATCGAGGATTGAGGATTGAGTATTTTGATGTTGTGTGGGCCCTCTTGGGCCTCCTGGAGGCTTCATGATGGAGGCATCCAGAGGCATGCGGGGATCTGTGGAGACGTTTGGAGACCTCTTGAGACCAACGACCACGGCGTCGACGACGTCGAAGTTCTCATTGCCTAGGTGTTTGGAGCGTTCTGGAGTTTCACGTCGCCACGGCTGGAAGCGGCGCTGAAAATTAGCAAGGATGGACCCGAGGGGTTCTGATCGAAAGAGGAGGTAGAGGAGGAGAGGGCCTTGGGGAGAAGGATGCACCTGGCGCGACCCCAACAATGGAAAAGTTCCTTCCGTAAATATATAAGCAAGGAAGGCGTTGGTTTGCATTAGGTTGTTTTGATGGGCAGTAATTTACATTGCTTGGCGTTGCTAGGAATTGGTTCGCACTGGCTGCCTTTGAATGGCATGGATTGGAATCTGTTTGCACGGATTTGTATTGCTAGTGCTTGGCGTTGTTTGGCATTACTTGGCATTGCTCGGCAGTGCGATGCGGCAAGGAGCTGAGACCATGGAACTCGAGGAAGGCAGTCAAGCAACAAGACCAAGGCGCCCGAGGAGACAGTCAAGAAACAAGACCAAGGAACCCGAGGAGGCAATCAAGTAACAAGACCAAGCAACCACCGGAAGGCAGTCGAGAAGCAAGACCCAGTAGCCTCAGGAAGGCAGCCAAGAATCGAGACACAGCAACCCAAGAAGGGCAGCCAAGACACAAGACGAAGCAACCCCAGGAAGGCAGCCAAGGCACATGCCGAAGCAGCCCGAGAAAGGCAGCAAAGCAGCACGACCAAGCAAGTCCCGAGGAACGCAGGCTGGCGCAGGCCTGGCACCAAGGGCTCCTCCTCCTCCTCCTGCTCCTCCTCCTCCTCCTCCTGGCCCTCCTCCTCCTCCTCCTCCTCCTGCTCCTGGTCCTCCTCCTCCTCCTCCTCCTCCTCCTCCTCCTGCTCCGCCTCCTCCTCCTCCTCGTCCACCTCCTCCACCTCCTCCTCCTTCTCCTGCTCCTCCTCCTCCGGTTCCTCCCAATGAGGGAAACGCTTCCTCAGTGAATCCAAGCAAGGAGGGCATTTCTTTGCAGTGCTTGGCACTGGATGGCGCTGCTTGGTGGTGATGTGCATAACTTCTTGCACGTATGTGCATTGCTTCGCGTTGCTTGGCATTGACGTGTTTTGCTTGGCTTTGCATTGCTTTGCTGTGCATTGTGTTCTTTGGCATTGCTCGGCAATGCCTGTCATTGCCTGACATTGCCTGGCATTGCTTGGCATTGCTTAGCGGTGCTTGGAATTGCTTTGCAGTTCTTGGCGTTGTTTGGCATTGCTTTGATTTGTGTTGGCATTGCGTGGCATTGCGTTGCATTGATCGTCATTTCGCGTGGCATGGTTTGTCATGGCTCTTGGCATGGCATTCCTTCGCACTCCTTGGCAGCACTTGGCAGTGCTCGGTACTGCTGAGCATTGCTTGGCACTGCTTTGCACTGCTTGGCATGGGTTGACATTCCTGGTGCTGCTCGACATTTGTTGGCCACCAGACATCCGGGTAACCCGGGCAACTGGGGCGCCGAGCAACCAGGCAACCCTTGTTGGCAACCCCGGCAAACCCGGGCAAACGGGCAACTTGGCAACTGGACAAACCGAAGGCCGGCCAGGCCACCGGGCAACCGGGCAACCCGAGGAACGTTGGGCAAGCCGAGGCGAAGGCAAGGCAACCGGGCAACCCCCCCAGGCTTCCCGCCGACGAAGGCTGGCTGGCGCAGGCCAGGCACCCAATGGTTTTGTACTAAGAGCCCCGCAGGCAAGCCTCCTCAGGGAATTAGCAAGGTCCCCAAGCCTCAACTGGAAAGAAACGAGGAGGAGGAGGACCAAGAGTACCCAAGAGGAGGAGGAGGAGGAGGAGGAGGAGGAGGAGGAGGAGGAGGAGGAGGAGGACCAAGAGTCGAAGAAGGAAAACATAGCATAAACATAAACTTGACGGCCCCGAGGGCCTGTAAGGGAACCCGGAGGCCACAAATACAAAAAAAACTCCCGCCCGAGGGGGTCTGGGCTTGGCGGATCCCGAGAGGAGCATCTTGCATCATCCTGCGAAAAAAAAGGTACAAAAAACGCGCACGGCACAGAAAAAAGCGCACTGGCAATGGGCCCCCGAGCGGCGGCGGGAGCCCGTCCTCGCGCCCTCCTCTGCCCCCCGCACAGCAGCCGGCCCGGAGCGGCGCCGCCGCGCCGCAGCCGCCGCTCGCAGAGGGGCAGGCCCCCCCCCCTCCTCCTCCTCCCTCCTCCTTCTCCCTCCTCCCTCCTTCCTGCTCCCTCCTCCTCCTCCTTCCTCCTCCTCCTCCTCTTCCTCCTCCTCCTCCTCCCTCCTCCTCCTCTCCTCCTCCGCCTCCTCCTCCTCCTCCTCCTCCTCCGCCTCCTACCTCCTCCCTCCTCCCTTCTCCTCCTCCTCCTCCTCCTCCTCCTCCCCTCTCACCCTCCATCCTCCTCCTCCTCCTCCTCAACCTCCTGCCGCATCCTCAGCCTCCTCCTCCTCCTCCCTTTCCTCCTCCTCCTCCCTCCTCCCTCCTCCCTCCTCCTCCTCCTCCTCCTCCTCCGCCTCCTCCCCTCCTCCCTCCTCCCTCCTCCTCCTCCTCCTCCTCCTCCTCCTCACGTTCCTCCTCCTCTCCTCCTCTCACTCTTCCTCCTCCTCTCCTTCTCCTCCTCCTCCTCCCCTCCTGTCCTCCTCCTCCTCCTCCTCCTCCCTCCTCCCTCCCTCATCGCCCTCCCCCCTCCTCCCTCCTCCTCGCTCCCTCCTCCCTCCTCCCTCCTCCCTCCTCCCTCCTCCCTCCTCCTCCTCCTCCTCCTCCGCCGCCGTCGGCCGGCACGGGGCGTGCAAGGCGCCGGGGGAGCCGGAGCTTGGGCCAGGCTCATGGCGGCGCGGCGTGCCCGCTGGCCCGGCGGCGCGTCGCGCAGCGGGCGCTCTCTGCTGCCGGGGGCCGCAGGGGTGGTGAGCCTAGGCTTGGGCCGGGCTGACCGGGCGGCGCGGTGACGGGGGGCGCCCGCGGGGCGACGTGGGGGCGCAGTGCGCGGACGCGGCACTCGGAGAAACGGTAACGATCCGCCTGCCCCCCGCCTTGCCCCGCCGTCTCGCCCCTGCGCTCCCCCGCCCCGGCCTCCTCTGCTGCGCCTCGTCGCCGGCGCCCTGGCCCAGGCTCTCCGGGTCGCTGCCGCCGGGAGAGGCTGGGGGGGATCCTGGCGCGAGTACCCCGCGCGGTCGCCAGTCGCGCCCTGGGACGTCGGCACTTCCTGACCGCGCGTGGCACCCCGCGCCAGGTAGCCCCCGGCCGCCCCCGTCGGCGCCGGGCGGGGCTCGGACGGGGGGGGGGGGCGGCGGCCTGGCCCCCTCACTGCCTGACGGGAGGTGCAGGACTTGACTGGCGAGGCCACGCGGGCGCCGGGGAGGTGGGCGGTAACCCAAGTGCGGCGCTCCACGCTCCTTGGCGGAGCGGTGGGCGCATCGCGGGGGTCACGGCTGACCCCGGCGGCGCGTGGCCTGGCTGCCCCGCGTCCGGGGGCCGCTGGGGGGCCGGCGCGCTGGGGGGAGGGCGCCACCGCCCGCGCGGCGCGTGGCCGAGTTCCGGCCAAACTCGGCCACGTGAGGCGCGGACGGGGGCGCTGACGGGGCCGCGGGCCCCAGTGGCTGGTTGCCCTCTCCCCTCCTCCCCCCCTTGGTTCTTTTCGCGGGGGGCTCGGGGGGATGGCCGTTGGGGGGCCGGCGCGCTGGTGGGAGGGCGCCACCGCCCGCGCGGCGCGTGGACGAGTTCCGGCCGAACTCGGCCACGCGGGGCGCGGACGGGAGCGCTGACGGGGCAGCGGGCCCCAGGGGAGGGCCGCCCACCCCCACCTCCTTCCTTTTCCTCTTCTCGTTGGCTGCTCGGGGGGGTACCGCTGGGGTGCCGGCGCGCGGGGGGGGAAGGCGCCGCCGCCCGCCCGGCGCGTGGCCGAGTTCCGGCCGAACTCGGCCACGCGGGGCGCGGACGCTAGCGCCCCGACGGTGCCGCAGAGGATGGTCGCCTCCTCCCCCCCGCCCCTCCCCTCCGCGCTTTCCTTCGCTTGGGGAGCCCGGGGTGGGAGATGGTGCTGTGGGAGGGGGCCGCCCCCCTCGCGGCCACACGGACCCGCGGCTGAGGCGTTGTGGGGGGGCCAGACGCGCCCATCCCACACCCCTTGGCGGACGGGGGCGCCGCGCTCCCCCGCGAAAGGTACCCCCTGGGGCAGCGGCGCCCCCGGCTCCCCAAGGCGCGGGAGCCGAAGGCCCAGGGGGCGGATGTTGTCCCGCGCCGGGGAGTCGCCCGGCCCCTCGGGGACCCCCCGGGGGCCGTCCGGAATAACATAGTCCGAAACATAGTCCCCCTCACTCCTCCTCCTCCCCCTCCTCTCCTCCCCCTCCTCACTCTTCCTCCTCCTCCTCCTCTTCCCCCTCCTCCTCCTCCTCCTCCGCCTCCTCACTCTTCTCCTCCTTCCTCCTCCTCCTCCCCTTCCCCCCCCTCCTCCCCTCCCTCCTCCTCCCTCCTCCTCCTCCCCCTCATCCTCCCCCACCTCTCTCTCCTCCTCCTCCTCACCTCCTCCTGCCTCCACCGCCTCCTCCTATCCTCCGCCTCCTCCTCCCTCCGCCTCCTCCTCCTCCTCCTCCTCCTCCTCTTCCTCCTCCTCCTCCTCCTCCTCCTCCTCCTGGCATCGCGAGAAGGCTTGCCAAAAACGACCCTTGGGGACGTGGTCGGGACCTCTGGGTCGGCTTCACCCCAACATGATAATATTATGTGTGCGTCAACACCCAGCGACGCGCGCACCGAGGAGTCTTACAGTATACGCTCCGTGGCGGGCACTGTCTGGTCATACCGCTCGGGAAACCATGTGCGACAAGATGGTCGTACGATATGTTCGGGTCGGACGCACGCCTCCAAGGAGGACATACAGTACCAGTAAGCCTCTGTGCGTCCCACAGGGGCCGCGGATTGAACAGGGTGATCGGAGCATGTCAGGGTCTGCGCCGCATACACCGGTCCTTGCGGGGCCCATCCTGCCCCGACGACTGCGGATCCGCCGTGCCGTGCGCGATTGCGCAAGGAGGGCGGACAGTTCCGCTCTTTTCCTCAGACTCTTCCTTTACTATCGATTTCCGCCCTCTTTTGCCGTCGCTATTTCCGCAACAGCTTCTGTCGCGGGAAAGTCTGCCTTATTTGTCCTGAGGCGGAAAGTTCCTCCTTGTTTGTTCGCCTCGTGTGGCGTGCACTTCCGACACTTTTTGCGAGTCGAGAAAATCAGACAAAGTACGGCGGACAGGGTATGCCCAGGGCTTGTTTATATGATGGTCCCCAGCTCCGGGGCCACCGCTCCCCCCACCCCCAGATCGGATGGGTCACAATGTTCCTCGCCCTCCCCCCCAATATGGGCTGGGGACACGACGACGACGCCGACGCCGCCGACCACGATGCCGCCGCCGCCACCGCCGACGACGACGACGACAGAGGACGACCTCGATCGACTCCATCGATGGGGGGATGGCCCGCCACGTCACGCTCACAGGGGCCGTCGGCGATTTCGCCGGGGGGGGGAGGGGGAATGGAAGGATGAGGAGGAGGAGGAGGAGGAGGGGGAGGAGGAGGAGGAGGAGGAGGAGGAGGAGGAGGAAGAGGATGGAGGAACTGCCTCTTGCGAGAGCCATAACTATCCAATAGCCTTCGGCCCACTCCGCCACCGTGCCTGGGCTGTGGGTGAGGCCTCTTGGACGTACGCCAGGGTCTGTTGAGATGCTCTTTCGGGGGCCTCTTGCGGGCGCCCCCGCTGTCTGGGAGGCTATTGTGACCATTTTGGGGCGAATCGATCAATATACCAGATCGGGTTCCCCATCTGGGCCGCCTCTTGAATAAGAGTCATACGGCTATGTGTACGTGTTGGGTACGTGTTTGATACGTGTTCAGTAAGCTGTGTGTACGCATTGCATACGTTGTGTATACGATGTGTATACGTGCTGTGTTTGTGTTGGTTACGTATTGCTTACGGTGTGTGTATATGTGTGTATATATGTACACACGGGCCGTGCTTCGTATGCGTTTCTTGCACGTGTTAACTATGCCGTGCGAGCGTTGCGCAAACGTGTTGGAAATAGTTTTACACGCGTTTTCGTATACGTGTTGTATACGTTTCGCTTACGTTTCATATTCGTCCCGTTCACGTTTTAAACACGTTTCGTACACCTTGTGCGTACGGTTATATATATATATATATATATATATATACATACATGTTATATATAATATATATATATATATATATATGTGTATATACACACACGTATCGGAGTAGGCTGGAGGGGGGGGCTGGGCCGCTGCCTGTACCCTCCATGGGCGCCCCCCGGGGTTTCTGGGGGCGTCCCAGAGCTCCCGAGACGGTCCCTCAGCTCCCGCGACGGTCTGGGCTCGCCCCGAAACAGACCACGACAGGCTAAGGGGGTCACAGGGGGCCCAAAAAACGGTCCCAAGAGGCAACGAAAACGCACAAGATGCCCGCAAGACGGCCGACGAGGACTCCAACACGCTTAAGGTTGGACCCAAGAGGCTCCCCAAGAGGGCCTTAGGAGGCAAAATTCTTTTAGTTCCCCAAGATCTTTCAAGGATTTTGGCGTTCTCGCTTTTCCGGCTTCCCAGCGCTCCCTCACGGCCTCGGAGGCCCTTCAGTTCGTTCCAAGACGGCCCACGAGGCCCCGAAGAGGGCCCCAAGACGGCCCAGGAGGCTCCTGGGACAACCCAGGTGTGCCCCAAGAGCGCCCCAAGAGGGGGCCCCGAGGGGGACTGCGAACCGATATTTTGAGGTCTCTGGCCCTAGAGGCCCCCAGTAGGCCCCCGAAGGCCACCAAGAGGCTTCCACGAAGCCACGTGAGGCGCCCAAGAGGCCCCCAGGAGGCCCCAAGAGGCCCCCAGGGAACGCCCAAGTGGCCCCCCAACATACCCCAACAAGTCATGTCCCCAGAAAGCCTTCCGGGGACATGGTTCATCATGGGCCCGGGAGTCTCCAGAGGCTCCGAAGTACCATCACGCTACCGGAGAGATGTCTGGGAAGTTGACTGGGAACATGATTGATCGCCTTCTCGCGGCCTTCCGCGGATCGTTTCGCAAAGTTGCCCAAAATGCCCTTTTGAGCCGACGACGACGACGACGACGAAACGACGACGAGGACGACGACGACGACGACGACGACGACGGCGCGCACCAAGAGGCGACGACGACATTACAACGACGACGACGACGACGGCACGCCCCAACAGGCTCCCCAAGACGCCCCCAAAACCCATGTTCCCAGAAGACCCTCTGGGAACCCGATTCATCAAGCATCCGCCCCCCTACGCAACCATCTTCCCCGAAAGCCTTCCGAAATGCGGATTGACATGCATGGTTTTTCTCACTGTCCATAATGCGTTCAGCTTTATGGACACTTCTTCACTTCCCGTTCAAACCATCTGTGGTCCACTACTTCAGTGGAGCAGTGAACTCGTCAAGGCCTGGGGCCTGCTAGAACCTGAACGCGCGCGAAGGGCGCGCGATGGTTCTAGTGTGTGTGTGTATATATATATATATATGCGCATACATATACATATACATATATAGATATACACGTTAACGTGTCATGTACGTTTCGTATACGTTCCGTATGCTGTGTGTGACACGTTCTGCCCACGCTTCTTTTACGTTTCGCATACTTTTCGTATACGTGTTGGATGCGTGCCCGGCAGGTTTCGGACACGTTCTGCACACGTTGTACAAGTTCTGGATACGTTTGTATACGTTTTGTAGACGTTGTGAATGTTGTGTAGACGTTTCGTAATTGTGTTACATACGTGTCGTACGTGTGTGGGGTACGTGTTGTATTCGTTTCGGTAATGTGATGTATACGCTGTGTATATGTTTATATTCGCTTCTCGCGTCCCATGCACGTTTCGCACATGTGTCGTGAACGTGATGCATACGATGTACATACGCTTCGTGTGCGTCCCAATCACGTGTTGTATACGCGCTGTGCACGTGCTGTGTACGTTTGATGTACGTGACATGCGAATTCCGTATGAAGTCCGGAAGCGTTTTGTATGCGATGTACAACGGTGTGAGTGTGCCTTCCATCCACGGTTCGTATGCGTTCTTGAAGAAGTTCCCCCCCTCGGACGCATGTAGTGTAGAGAATGGGATGGTAGCATCAGCGGTGCAGTGCAGAGCATCATGTAGCATTGTTGTTCATTTGTCATTCCATAGCCCCTTTCGGCAAAAGGTTTTCTCATGGTAGCGCGTGGGACGACCAGGGGCGAACGACGCACGGCCGGCGCCATCCAGCGCCGGATCGACAGGGGTGCTCGCCGGCGGCTCGGCGACAGCACCCAGCCTGCGGGGCCGGCAGCCCCACCACCGGCGGCAGCGGGCAGCACCGCGCCGCCCTGGCGGGCTGCTCCGGCGGCCCCAGCACCGGCGGCAGCGGGCAGCACCGCGCCGCCCTGGCGGGCTGCTCCGGCGGCCCCAGCACCGGCGGCAGCGGGCAGCACCGCGCCGCCCTGGCGGGCTGCTCCGGCAGCCAGAGGAGAGGGCGCCCGGGAGCGCCAACAAAGGCCCGGCACCGCGGCCGGGAGGAGGCAGCAGGCCGCGCCGCCGCTGCCGGAGGAGCCGAGGAGGGCCGTTCTTCGGCCAGCTCGGCGCTGCAAGGAGAACCCAGACCCTCGGGCGCGCGCACGGGACAAGCGTCCACGACGCCCAGGAGGGGACACTGAGGAGAGAGGAAGGAAGAGGAAGGACAAGCGTCCTGAGGAGGAGGAGTCGGAGGACGGCAGGAAGGCAACCCTGAGGATGGAATGGAGTATTATATGGTACATGCGCGAACGCTTATGATAAAGGAGCATCTGATAAGTATAAGTTTGATGTAAGGATCTTTTTGCGTTACATGTCTGTCATGGAATATATCAACATACGTGCGTGGACCATCTTGATCATGACATGATCATTATGGACCTTTTATGAGAGAGGAGTATTTTGGATGTTCGTGCGTGTTCCATCGTCCCCAAGAAGATGGAGGATTTCGTGGGGGAGGGCGCATGGGAAACGCTTGCACGGGTGGGGCGCGAGGGCGGGGCGGGGGGGAATGGGCGGGGCGCGCGAAGCCGAGCGCGGGGTCCGCAGCGACGAACTACACAGGAATTCCATCGCATTGAGGCATGCACGTGGATGCGAGGGGCGTCGGCAATCCGTGCACGATCTAGCATCTAGGTTCTTGGATATACGATCTATATCATTTCGCTGGAACGGGGCGTCTTTTACTTTAGGCACCAAACTGTTCTACCCCTCCGATTACGAGTTCGCTTGAGCCACGGCGAGGCGAAGGAGGAGGAGGAGGAGGAAGAGGGGTTACATGTATTGCTGACGCAGCGGTTGCAAAATACGCACGTATGCCTGAAAGTTCTCAAGGACATCGAAATATGAGCCCTCGGTTGTGCGTCTTTTGCAACACCCATGCGCGCGTTGATGCGAGCGTGTGCTGCAATCCTGGGGCATTTTTTTTGCGTCGAATACGCTAGGGGTAACCGAAGCCCAAGACGTTCGTCGGAATTGGCCCCGAAATGACAGCATGTTAGGCACAATTGCATTCAACTATGCGTTTGCACTGGCGCCGCAATCGCAGCCAGTTTGAGCCTGTGCCGCGAGGGGGAGGAGGAGGGGGAGGAGGAGGAGGAGGAGGAGGAGGAACAGGAGGAGGAGGAACAGGAGAAGGAGGACGAAGAGGCTGCCATGGCCACGACGACGACGACGACGACGACGACGCGTGTAGCTGGAGGGCTAGGACGGGCGAGGGGAGGAATACATATACCTACAATGATTGAGAGGGAAAACGACCGCGGATATTGCGGGCGTTCTTCCTGGAGGGAGTGCGAAGCGGAATCGGCGCGGAGGGGGGCGGGGGACTAGGGGGAGAAGATGATGGGGGAGGGGGAGAAGGAGGAGGAGGAGGAGGAGGAGGAGGAGGAGGAGGAGGAGGAGCAGGCGCAGGAGGAGCAGGAGGATGACGAGGAAAGAGGACAAGGAGGAGAAAAATGAGGAGCATGGTTTTCGGCCCCGCCGCCGTGCCTGGGTAGTGGGAGTGGGTCAGCCTCATGCGTTTTTGCTCTGTACTGCAGCGTCTTCGCTTGGTTCTCTGTGATCTTCCTGTCAATATTGAGGAAGCTCGGCGAGTTAAGGGGGGGGTGGAGGGGGGGGGGGTGGGGGAGGGGGGGGGGAGGGGGGGGCGCTGTGGTTTTTTGGGCGACTTCCGGTGCCTCCTGCGCCCTTTGGTTGTCCCCCCCCCCCCCCCCCCCCCGCTACCGCCATCCCCATCCGCATTTGGCGCCTTCCTGGCGGCGTTTGCACTCGATGGCCAGAATTGCTCGGACGCCCCGCGCGTCGCGCAGGCGCGTAGTCGGCTGTAGTTGGAATGTAGTTTGAATGTAGTTGCATTGTAGTCGCACGGTCTGCATGTTATCGGTGCTCGCATGCACTGGCGGTGCTCACAAGTTTTGCGCTTGCGCCTCGTCCCGAGAGTTCCCGTGCCATGCTGTCGTTGGTGTCTGCAGATCGGCGGAACGGCGAGAGCCGTCGGAATATGTGACAAGCGGAATGGCGGGAGCCTGTGACATGTGAAAATCGGGGTGTCGGCGACGGCGGTAGCCGCAGATATTGAAAAGTTGTGTTGAAACCCTTGCCACCTCCGCAGTCTCGCCCTGTGCGGCCTCGCCCTCGGCGCCGCTGGGCTGCGCGGGCTTCTTCTGGGGCTGTGCCATGCCGTGCGTCACGCGGTAGGCGAATGCTGGAGCTCGAAAAAAAACAAAAAAACGGGAGCCTGCCACGGGCTCCCTCGAGCCCGATCTCCACGGACGACAGATACATCAACGCGATAAGTTGGTGCCCGAAACTAATTGTTCAGGCTTCCGATGCCATCGATCTCACCCCTCCTCCTCCTCCTCCTCCTCCTCCTCCTCCTCCTCCTCTCCTCCTCCACTCTCGCTCCTCCTCCTCTCCTCCTCCTCCTCCTACCTCTCCCTTCCTGTTCCTCCTCCTCTCCTCCAGGGGCAGCGGCCCCCGCAGACCCTGCCCCGAGAGGGGCGGGCCCCGCGCCTCAGCCTCCTCATCCTCTTCGCCCCCCCCATCGCCCTCCTCTTCCCCGTCCTCCCTGCAGGGTGGGCGGGTGGAGGGGGGTGGGGATAAGGGGGAGGGGGGGGGGGGATCGGGGAGGCCCAGGGGGTGGGGGCTCGGTCCACCCTGCGTGAACAGCGAGTTCGGCGCCGACCCCAGCACCGCCGCTTGCATTGACGCCAGCACTCTGATGTTCCATTTGAATTCGTAACAGCCTAGGGGGTGGGGCCCCCACCCTAGAGACCGACTCCTGCTCTCTCCTCCTCCTCCTCCTCCTCCGCTCCTCCTCCACCTCCTCCTCCTGCACCTCCTCCCCCCCCTCCGTCCTCCTTCCTTCTCCACCCTCCTCCCTCCTCCTCTCGCTCCTCCCTCCCACCCCCTCCCCCTCAACCTCCTACCCCCCCTCTCCTGCTGGCGTCCTGCTGCCCTCGCCCCCCCCCCCCCCCCCCCCACCCTTTTCCCCCACCTCCTCCCCCCCGCTCCTCCTCCCACCTCCTCCTCCACCTCGTCCTCCTTCTCCTCCTCCTCATCATCCTTCACCTCATCGTCCTCCTTCTCCTCCTCCTCCTCCATCTCCTCGTCGTCGTCGTAGTAGTCGTCGTTCAGGGTCGGCGGCACTGACCGCAAGGCATTTCCGATCTGAACAACGAGTGCTGGCGTCAGTGCTGAGTTCTGTGGCGGGGATCGCTCGAAAGAGGTTTAGCTCCCCCCCGAAACGCGTGGCCCGCTGTGCATTGCACGCCACGCTCGAACATCCAGGCGACGCCGCCGAGCTCGAAACTCACTGCTCAGCCGCCTTCGCAGCAGCAGTAGCCAGCAGCTTGCCGAACTTGGACGGGTAGTGGGCTGTCTCCTTGAGCTTCCGATTTCCTGAGGGCGAGTGCGAGGAGCAGAGCGGGGGCGGCCAGGAAGGGGAGGGCGGCCGGGAAGGGAGGCAGGAGGGACGATCGACAGGGACGAGAGGGTGGGGCGGGGGAGGGAGAGGGCAAGAGCCGACGGGAGAGAGCGGGTTGACGGTTGGGGGCGGGCAAAATACCAGGGCCGTTGCAAGTGGGAATGAGCACGCGGGGGTCTGAGTTGCCCTGTGGGGTCCTGTGGTCCAGCCTTTCTCTTTGTCAGTCTTCCAATAGCTGTCCACCAACGACCCCTCCTGCTTTGGCTTAGTAGAGCCTTTTGGTTTCGCCTTGGCGATGGGCTTCATCAATTTGATGGGGATGTTGGAGCCAATGATAGTGCCCTTCAGCAGTTTGGATCCGAAGTAGCACTGGTAGGTAGTTGTGATGTGGCCGCCCGTCTGCTTCAGAGCTTGTTTCACGACGGGGTATTCGAAAAATTTCGAGTCGATCGGCTGCTCAATCATATAGAACACCCCGCGAAGCAAACGCAGATACATAAATTGTGCAACGATGAACGCAATGAGGTTGCTCCTAGTCACTTGATCGCTGTCAACGTGTCCATGGACCGATAGATACCGACCGCTCGTGAAAGCATTCAGGAAACGGCTCCAATCCGAGCAAGGTGGCGCCATGAACACAATTCCCTTGGGAGCGATCGAGAGGATAAGGACCACCGCCCACGCCAAGCCCCTGCGAGGGCGGCGGGGGGAGGAGCTGGAGGATGAGGAGGAGGGGGATGATGATGATGAGGAGGAGGAGGAGGAGGAGGAGGAGGAGGAGTGGGGTAGGAGCGGGAGAAGGATGAAGGAGGAGGAGGCGGAGGAGGAGGAGGGGAGGAGGAGGGAGGAGGATGAGGAGGGGGAGGGGGGAGGGTGAGAGGGGGGAGGAGGAGGAGGAGGAGGAGGAGGAGGAGGAGGAGGAGGAGGAGGAGGAGGAGAAGGAGAAGGAGGAGGGGGAGGAGGAGGAGTAGGAGGAGGAGGAGGAGGAGGGGCAAACAAGGGCAGGCGGGCCCTGCCCCTCACTCGTTGCCCATTCCCGCGTCTCGTTCCACCCCCTCACCCCTTCCCCGCGGGTAGGAGAAGGATCGCTACTTTGAATGCCGCTGGGGGCCCTTGGGACAGCATGTCCTCCTCAGGGTGGCGGGTCTCAGCATCGAACTCGTGGGCGCCGCCCGTGAGCTTCCTGAGGTGGAAGCTGCACTGGCCCCAGCCCGAGAAAAACTCGACGCCCGTCCTGGCGACTTGACGGGGGCGGGGGGATATCGCCTCCCTCGCCGGGAAGTCGCCCCCGCGCCCCCTGCTGGGAAGCCCGCCCCATCTCTGCAGCATTCCCTCATTCGTTTCCACCGTTGTTCGCCTTTCTCCAACTTTCGTGCCCGACATCCTCCAATGTGCTTCCGTATCCCCATTTCGAGGAGTAGTAGGGGTGGATGAGTAGGAGTGGGAGGGTCGGAGAGAGGCGAGGAGTAGTGGAGGTCTTCGCCAAATTCAACTCATCGTTTCCATTCTTTCCTCCTGCCCTCCCTCCGCTCTACGCCCAGTCTCCTCCCTCTGACCTCCTTCCTTGGTTTTTCTAATGCCAGCATCCTGATGCGCTTGGAATAAGTAGATCGAAATCCCATGATCAGGTTAATCACGGCCTGCGCGATCAGGATGTCGGAGATCTGGTTCGGAATCTTGGCCTAGCGGAGGGCGGAGAGGCCAGCGTGGATGAGGGCCGGGGGAAAAGAGGGCGAGAGGCAGGGAGACATGCGGATGACGGGGAGAGAGGGAGATCGGGAGGCAGGGTCAAGGGCGAGGGGGCGCGGGAGGGGGGAAACGGGGAGGAGGATGGGGGAGGAGAAGGGGGGAAGCACGAGGGAACGGGCGGGGGGGGTGGCGGGTGATCGGGGGGAGGAGCACGACGTCCCCCTCCTCATCCTCCGCCAATGTTCCCGCAGCTTCCCTTTCTCATCCCCCCCCCTCCTCCTCATTGCAATCCTTTCCTTTTCGACGTGCCCGAGTGGTTCATCATCCTCTGGTTCCCCCTTTCTACTTTGCCCACTCCGTGCGCGGGGCATTGCATGGGAGCTAGCAGTTGGGGCAGGGAAGGCATTGGAGTGGAGGCGGATGGGCGGGCTGATGGTGATGATGATTCAGCAAATCCTGCGTCCAACACGTGCGCTCACACACCGCCATGCCAGCATTGGCCTTGCCCGACTGCGAGGTCCCCAGCCAACGCCAAGCGGTCGAAGTACCGAACCTCCCAGTTGGTCCTGTGGCTGGCTGCTGCGGCATTGGCCGCTCCGAGGTTGAGCGACTCGTCTAGAAACGTGGCCGCCGCCATGGGGGGGCCACATTTCCTCGCTCGCCGAACGAGGTGCACCCATATGTGATGCTTGGGCGCCAGGTCCAGCCCCGAGGCCCTGATTGCAACCACATGAGACAAGCACGAGTCCAACAACCTTCGGCAATATTCAACCGAGGGAGTGATGGGGCAGGCCTTCAGCAAATCCACGTGTTCAATCAATGACGAAAGGGCCCGAATGATCTCCTCGGACCTCTCGATCAACAGGCTATGCTTCTGCCCGAGGCATAACGCCCAGGGAAGTATTGTATGCGTCTCGCAGCCCATGGTCTTCAGATATGGCGCATGTTCCTTCCCAATCATCCCTTTGGTAAGGTCGGTGATGCGGTCGCCCGTCGGCACTTCCTTGCTGTCGTACCACATGTTCAAGTCGTCCATCAGGCGCTGGAGCCCCACATCAAACACCACCTCCCAGCCGCCACTGATTCGCCAGGGGTTGGTTCGAAGCACCCTCCAGATAAGCAGAGACATGGCGCGCTGGTGCACACCGAGGTATAGGAACGTCCAACGCAAAAGACGTTGACGGCGACACATGGAGGTTCATGTCGAATAGCGGGTTCCGATGGTTCACACTGTCCGTCACCATACTGCCATGCGTGTGGACCCTCCAAAAGCGGGCGATAAATGGGATCTTGGTCGCTGTGAAATCCGCCACGTCGGCTAAATCCACGCTGGGTTCCAGCCTGTCCCCTGGTTCCAGCCCGAGACTTGGCACGCCGCGTCGCAGCGTGCGCCCGCGCACGCCCCCTTTCCGATGGTCCCAGTAAAGCTGCCCGTCCGAGACAACCTGGGGGGGTGGCTCTAGTACTACTACTACTACTACTACTACTACTACCACCACTACTACTACTACTACTACTACTACTACTACTACTACTACTACTACTGTTACTACTACTACTATCATTTCTACTACTTCTACGACTACTACGATTGCGACTAATACTGTTACTTCTGCTGTCGTTGTCGGCATCGCCGTCGGGGGGTCGCGTGTGTTTGTATGTTTGTGTTGAGCGTGTATTTTGTTGTTTGTTCTGGTCGTCCC